CTCTGTAACATGCCCTGCTTTTGGATGCCACAAAAAAGGTTTTTTTTTTTGACTTTGCTGTATGCAAATCGTGATGCTAGAAATCTTCTGTGACTGGAACCACCATGTCTTGTCCTTTTGCGTTTGCCATTTGACATAGCAACAATTGTTGAGCTCAATATATAGTATGTCTGTTGGCATTCCCTTAGTTGTATATCTATTCTACCTCAGCATTCAGTTGCTGAAGTAAAATATATAAATCTTTTGCCGGGAACCACCAATATATAAAATTTAAGCCTTCTCCTTTTCTGTTTGCCATTGGAACATTGTAACAAGTAGAGCTCATCATGCGGCGAACGGAGTAAACATCATCGTGCCCAATACGTAGTGTGACAACCCCCTTATTTGTATATCTACTCTACCTTAGCATTCGGTTGCTGAAGTTATTGGACAGTCTAACTTGTAATAAGTTATTTAAAGCTCCGGAACAAGCCTTGCTGTGGGACACAACAAAATCTTTCCTTGACTTTGCTGTATGCAGACTGCGTTGCTAGAAATTATTTGCGACAGGGAACCACCCATACACTTGATGACTTTATAATACGTGTGACGTGTATGCCTTGTCTTTTTGTGTTTGTCATTTATTTGACAATGGTAACAAGTAAACTTCATTATGCGTGAACATACTAGTAAGCAGACGTCATCGTGCTCAAAATATAGTAAGCCTGTAATCATCATCCTCTTATCTTAGCTGCATAATATATCTATCATGCCCTATACATAATTCAGCCGCTGAAGTGATGTAAAACAGTCTTATCTAGCCTGTACTCATCATTCTCGTGCTGTGTGCAGGTGGCGAAGGGGAGGCCTTGCAGAGGGTGGTGGAGGCCGACCGCGCGGCGAAGCAGGCCGTGGAGAAGGCGGTCCAGCTGCGCAGCAGGGCCCAGGCCCTCATGGAGAGGGCCAACCTGGCGGCGTACAAGTCGGTGATGGCGGTGAGGATGGCGGAGGCCGCGAGCGTGTCTAACAAGTGCCGGGATTTCGTATGGAGGAGCCTCGACTAGCCCTGTGGATCTTTTTGCTCCCGCATTTTGTCGCCATGTGTGATATAATTGGGCTAGGCTGTCTTTTTTGTGTACCCCCTCCTCTCCTCTCCTCCGGTTGGTTGTAACTATGCGAAGAAGAAGAAGAAGAAGAAGCGAAGTCGGAAGAAGGAAGTGTAATTCGTTGTGTAAATGATAGTTTGGTTAGGTAGATGATGATGATGGACTCACCATTCCTGACAATTCTGTATGTTACATGTACCGCCCATGTTTTGACAGAGGAAAAAGAAAAGAAAGAAGACCCCTGAGGTATTGCTAGAGCAGAGGAGGAGGGGAAACAGTTGAATGATTGAATGGATCATCTGATGATGACAGTGGGCAGTGGCTTGTGATTTTCCCTGAAAACTCATCTCCCAGCAGCATGAATGGATCATGTGATTAGTCTTGTGCCATGAATCTTGGAAGATTGGACCTTGATGGCCATCTACTTTGCTGTGTGAGTAGTACTGTATGTGGGAGTGTTATTAGCTTGTACTCCCTCCGTCCGGAAATATTCGTCGGAGGAATGAATGTATTTGGATGTATTTTAGTTCTAGATACATTTATTTTTAAGCATTTCTCCGACAAGTATTTTCGGACGGAGGGAGTACTAATAAAACACCACAAGTACCTTGTTGTTTGTTGTATCTTATAATAATTTTATTATTTCACCTTGGCAAAGCAGTAGTAGCTTGTGTTGCTTAATTGCCATCCATATTTGTATTTGGATGCAAGCCAGCGAATTTGATTGTCTAGCTCGGGCGTGCATGCTTGCTTCGTTGAGTGAAGTCTGATTTAAACCTTAAGGTTTGTGAACAACATTGTGATGGCTCTAGATATTTCACAGCTTGATTATTAACTTGTTGCAGCCTTTTTTCTTTTTTTTGGTTATCCGAGAGAAAAAGATGATTTTTTTTGCGAAACCAAAGATGGTAAATCGCACAAGAAACATGTGGCGAGAGGAGGAGGGAGCGATGATATTGAGATTGAGATTGAGATGATCCTTCCAGAATCCAGCAGAGAGAAATGGAGAGGTGTGAGGCGGAGGGAGGCCGCTCCACCTC